AGAGAGATTTGAAGTGACTTTCTTTGTGCTCCCTCACCACCCCTCACTGCCTTTCCTGAGTGAGTTTTTTCACCCTCCTCCTCACTCTCTTCCTAGGATGGCAGTGTACCCTGGCCCCAGCAGTGGGCAGCTGCCTAGGACACAGGGTCCCATTTTTCAACCTGTAATTATGAAGTATATTGTATTTTTAGAGTTTGATTTTCTTATTAAAAAAAATCTTGTATTCACATGAATACAGTACATATTAGCGCTCATCCTTGCTTTCCTTGTAAGTTTGCGCATCTTGAAATTGTAGGAGGGTTGAGAACAGGAGGCTTTCATTAGATGCATGTTTGAGAAACTCATTGTGGAGAAGGAGTACATCCAAAATAAAATAAAAACTGAAACAAAACAATTTTCTTGAATCAGCAGTTGCCGTCACTCTTTTCTGTTCCTCCTGGACCTGGTCCAGTGGCCCTGGAAGAACAATGAAACATCATGGGGATAAGTGGGAAGACAATTCAAAACAGAAGACTGCTTCTCTAGATTTCGTGTTTCAAAACCGGAGACGGGAATTGTTGGGGGAAGTACACTGGTACATGTTAATGTCCAAGTCATAGATTTTCAGCAGACGGGAGAATAAAATCATGCCAATGATGGAAACTTGGGAACTTGACACATTTTATGTTGTCTTTTAATACTTGATTGAATATGTATTTTATTTATCCAAGAAGTCATATTAATTATTATACCAAAACAGATCTAATTTACAATACAGTCTTACAGAGTACCACATAAACATTTATGAAACATTCCCTCTCTGCCCCTAAAATCCCATGAATTTGGTGCATATTTGTTGCGACAAACCAATTGCCAAAAGACTATCTTTATAATTACCCATTTGCTCAAGAAACTCTCTTCCTTTCCTCTCTCTTCCATGTGACTACTGCCTAAAATACTCAGGTGTTTGAAGCAAAGTTTTAATCTTTTGCTTTCTAGAAAGCATCTTATTCCGTCTCCTTCTGAAGCTTAACTCATTGTTGAACAGAAGTAGGTTTGGAGAAATGATTGCTTGCTTGATAAGTGGTTATTTATGGGTAGATTTGTAGAAAAGAAAATAAGACTCAAGTGCTCACAGCAGCCAGCAAATATGCACGGGTCTCCACCCTCCATTAAGCATGCTCTGGGCTGTTTTTCTAGGAATGGTGAAGAATTTGCACGGATATTATCAGCTCTCTAGCTAGTCCTTCTTGTGGCCAGTGTTAATCACCTTGATCTTAAAGTAGGTTTAGGGAATGTTGAGTAATTGGACAGAGATTTTTCACAATTATATTCCTCCATAGAATTATCCTCAAGCCAAGTGGCTCATCTTAGCAATTAACTAAAATGCAAGAAAGTTAGAGAAAGTCAGCATGGATAACAAGCAAATGAAACATGGGTGACTCCTGGCTTGTCCATAGAAAGAGAGGTACAGCAGTAAGAATACTCCCTTGGAAATGTGGGTTCAAATCCCGCCACTGCCATTTATTAGCTGTGCAACGCTGGGCAAGTTATTTAACTTCTCTGGTCTCTTGTTTATTCACCTATAATATAATATCAACAATATCTGCATCATACAATTGTCATGGAATTAAATGACTATTATCATCAATCAAAGATAGGACTTAGTGAGTGAGTCTTTGGACCAGATAAAAGTTAACTCGAAATGTACAAAGCACACACACAAATGTGTCATTGCAAGTGAAAGAGCCATGACGGTACTTTAACAATAGTACAATATAGTATTTCTTTGGATTTCAGGGGGATCTTGGTTCTGTAGGCAGGTTGTTTTCGTATTAAAGATGTCATGATGTCTTGAATTGGGCTAGTTTAGCTAAGCCCAGATCAAATGAAGAAAAAGAAGCTAGTTAAGATCATTATCTTTACCACTTGCTCTGGAATGTGTTTCTCAAATACGTGTTTAGATGAATGCATGACTGTCGTAACACACTCCCACAATTACGTACATACCAAAGTAACTTTCTATCTCCCCATCACCCCAGTGCTCTTTTTTCCCATATATTTTAAAGTGATAAGGCTCAATGTAAACTTCCTCCTTCCCAAACATTTAGGGCAGTTCCTGCCAAGCGCCCCGTTCTACAAAGTGATTTAGTACTTTAACCTCGCTCCAGACACTCTGACATCTCTGGTTAGTCTCTGGTGTAAAGGTTAGTCTCTCATATTTCTTGAGGTTGGGTAAAGGAAATGGTCACAGAGTTTAGGTGAGGGTGGGGAAAGTGATGCCCTGCTCATTTGGGGTTTTATCTTCTAGAGTTCTTCCTCCATTTTCCTGATGCCACCAGTATTAAGGCCATTGTGTGTGAACAGATTGTACACATCAGTCCTGCTGTTCCCTGATGACAGTGTACCACCTTGTTCCTGGTGGTCTCATTCGTTTTACAAGCCAGGGTACCTGGAACAGAGGTGGTAGAGGTGGTCAAGTAACTCTGTGTGGGACTTCGATCCTCCTTTAAGGGAAGGACCTACATGGAGATGTGATTAATGAATATACTTCCCTTACCTTTCTTGGCTAAAACAATAGCAGCTGTTGTTTTTATTATCTTTCAAAGGATAAGGGCCAATATGTAGAGGTGAGGGAGGCCTCTCATTTGATGATTGATTCTCCTTCTGTGCCTTTTGGGAAAAAAAAATGCCTTGATGGTTGTCTTTAGCTATTTAGAATTAGAAAGTATGAAGAAAATGCTTTCATATAGGTTTTTACTTTAAACATGTTTTAAAAACCTATAAACTTTATTTTCTAGAGTCAACAGCCCTGTAGCTGTGGGTACTGGGATAACTTTCCCTATACCTCTCCCCATGGTGTGGGAAAGGACATATAAGCCTCATCCTTTGTTTGCCACTTTGGTTTCCAGTGCTCTGCCTTGACCACTTAGCACTCTCTCCGAATAGCTGTAGGTCGAGAATAGTGGGCAGGAGCGTCAGAGAAGAGTTGGCGTGAGAACGGAACAGCACCACAAAATAGAACGCGAGAGGGAAAAAAGCATCTCGGAGGAAGAAAATACTGCCGCCTGGTACTCCCTGGTACCCAGAGATATCCGGCGTATTGTGCTTACACCACTCGCCGGTTCCACAGGGAGAGAGCCGGAAGAATTGCAGGCTTTGGTGGTGACAAGTTCAGGCACTCATGGGAAAGAGAGTGGGCCCCTTCTGAGAGAAATCATTTTGAGCACAGCCAAGCCAAGATATTTTCAGATGTGATTCAGACCTGAGAATGAAACTGCAGGGGGATGGGATACTTCGGTTGGGAACAGATTAGCCCATTTTTAACATAGTTGAAGTGTTGAAGTGGTGCCATCCTAACAAATGAATACTTAGCCCCTGGTTTCGAGAAAGTGGCCCAGGATAAAAGAGGCTAAGTGCATGGCATCAAAGCCAAAGCTGGCCTCCTTATCTGTGGGAGCAACGGTTGGTTTTCTCAGAGGCAGAAAGTGCACTGAACCTAGTTACGTAAGACCCGAGTTCAAGTTCCCACTCCATTCCACTTCGTGTTAATTCCTTTAGACTGTTACTTAATTGCTTTTTAATCTGTATTACAGGTTGTTCAAAATAAGAACATATGAAATACTAAGGGCTTATAATGAAAATTATAAGTGATACGTTTCAAATACAAATGAAATTATAAAATGAAGGTCATGGCTTCAATTTCCACTTAAGCTAATTACCTTTATATTAAGATTTTTGAGCAAACCCAACCAGTTATCTGGCAATTGTAGACACCATTTTTATCAGTACTTTACTTTCTAAATATGCAAATATTTAGAGTTTGCACAACCTGTACATATGTTTGTGTGAACAGGGCCACTAGCTAAATATTAAACCACCATTAGAATCTGATACTCATTATTGAAATACAGTATAACCTTTTAATACATTTGTGGAAACACCATTTTAAATTGTTTTTAAAAAACTCAATTAACTGTAATTGGATTACACTATAATTGGATTTTAGTGGGATTGGGGAGGATAAAGAATGAAGAAAAGTGAAGATACAGCTAATAAAACGGAAGAGCTCATATTAATATAGATAATTTAATCTTTTGAGAGTTTTGTGTCTTTTCCAATAGTTTCTCAGTCGAAAATGCATCAAACTGTGTTCCATTAGCTACAGCCATTAGGAAAACCTTAAAAGTCATGCCTCCTTTTTTCTCTAGGATGACACCTTGCCTGAGGCAGACTTTGAAGATGTCCTGAAAATGAGGGAAAGAGGGATGTTTAGCATGAGATGAGGCATCTCAGACCTGTGGGACAAAGTAGAAGAAGACAGGGTACAAGAATGAGAACTGTGCCACGATAATTTTTTAAAATTTTTTGATTGGATGAGATGAAATAGCAGAGAAACTATTTGAGAACCTTATAACCCAATGTCTACTTTAAATGCAAATTGAAGATAGATCAGTGGGTGATCAGAATAATAGCTTACATTGTACATTAAAACATTAAAAAAAAGACTCCCAAATACATATATAAAATAATTCCTTTGAAAGAATTTAACGGCAGTTAATTTGTGTGTGAATCACCACAGTGCTTGAACTTGAAGTAAACTTAGATTATCCTGCCAGAAAAATGTTTTAAGTATTTCTTTACACACACATGCACACAGGCACACTCACACACACACTACTCACACTCGTAGCTTCCCCAACTAGTGGTAACCTAGGAAAGAATCTGATGCACTTTCGGACCATTAGAGAACAGTATTGATTTGGCCATGTGAAATCAACTCCTGGGGCAGAAAATGAGTGACTGCATGTTCACTGACACCGCTGATGCCTCACCATTCTAGCCTCGGCCTTTTTCCTTCACCTTGTAAAATTTGGGTCCAGGTTCTCACAATATGTACGAAATCCCATTGCTGGGTGGGATGAGGGTAGGGGAGTATAAAGGAAATGCTGTTCCCATTGTCTTCCACTGCAGAATTCCCTGGACTGACTTCCTGAAAATCTTCTGTTTGCCTCCACCAGGAATGGCGGCCCTAGATAGTAAGGCATCAGGGAAGATGGGAATGCGAGCTGTAGTCTATTATATGACTACCACCATCATTGCTGTGGTGATTGGCATAATCATTGTCATCATCATCCATCCTGGGAAGGGCACAAAGGAAAACATGCACAGAGAAGGCAAAATTGTACAAGTGACAGCTGCAGATGCCTTCCTGGACTTGATCAGGTATGTCCTTGCAAGCCCGTCCTTTGGGGTGTATTTTCACCATCCAGATCCTCTTACTGGGAAGCTAATCAAACCCTGGAAGGGGTGTCTGACTGAACCAGCCTTGCCAGGCTTGAAATGAAGGTCATATAGCTTTACTTCTTTCTTATAGAAATTGAAGGAAGGATCCATTTTCTGATCTTGTATGAGAGAGGCGAAAAGAGCAAGGAGAAGATATGAATTTTGAGAACCTTGCCTTTAGGATTCAGAATCTGGTCACTGAGCTCTCTCAACTATGCAGCTCACCTTGGAATTTTAATAATTCTTAACCTATTTTTCTTAAGTACTGTTCTTTAAGGCTAGTTTTTATTCAACTATGCCCTATTCTTTGGACCCTTCTGATTTAGAACTTGTGATCAGTATCATTGCCCACCATGCACAACGCATTATACACAATCTGGTTCCAGAGGGACTTTAGAGATCATCTTGCCAAACCTGTCCCAAGGTTTTCCTTTCATAATATTTGTGGAGAAAGAATTTGGCAGGTCTGTAATAAAAGAATAAAGGATGGTTTCTTTAGCGTTGTTTTACATACAAACCATACATTGATTACAGATGAGTCTTATCTACTACTTGAAGCAGACTTGGTAATAGAGTCAGCCTTATGTAGAACTGTGAAGTAAGTCAAAATTCAATCCTGGCACCTTCCTGCTTCCTCTCCCCTACACACCTGCCCTTGCTCAGTCAGGTCCTGGCAGGAAGCATACCACATACTCAAAAGGAACCTTGAAGAAGGTTTGCCAAGGTGCAGGCAGCCTTAAAGGAACCTACCAAGGATGGTGAGGCCCCAAAGCACTAACAGTAAGAAACTATTTTGTTACCACCCTTAGCTATGAAGGAGCAAAAGAAAGGAGGTGTTATGGAACCCAGAAAGAGCTATAGCCTCGGGAGGGAAGGGCCTCAGGAACCCTAAATAGAGGAAGGAAGCTGCCACCAAATCTGTCAAAGAGAGCTCTAGGAGAATATAGACTCCCTCTGCCCTGTGATCTGTTAGTGCATGTCACTAGACAAACCCAATAGGAGTAGGAAGCCAGAGGGCAAGAGAACCCATGTGTTGTGGTCCACAGAGGCCAGGCTCCCAGGGCACAGACAGAATGGAGAGTGAATCTAGAAGGACAAAGGAAAGCTATCTCATAATAGGCTCTAGATCCCCCATCTGCTTAGCATTCCCCCACCGTTTAGTCCCTCCCAGCCTGTTTTCCCAAAGACTAGCTATTTCCTCCCAGCTTTTCAGCTAACTTACCTGCAGAGTGACTGGGTTGTCAATTCTAGATACCTGTGTAAAAGGCCCATTCCCCATTGATCATCTGAAGGAAATTCCTCCATTGCATCTCAAGGAATGGGGCTGTGGCAGGTAAAGTCAAGAGAGGTTTGGGGAGCAGAGGGTACCTTCAGCAGCACCTCTCAATTCCAACCATGGGTGACTTTCTACCATCTCTATGTATGTAAACACTGCCCAAGGGGCCTCTTCTTCAAAGTCCTTTTTCAGGGAGTTAATCACAATGATCTGCATGTATCAAGCCACCCTGTAACATTACTCCATGCCAAGCTGACATTCAATAGCTATGTTTTTATTTAGTTCATACAATTAATTAAGGCTTTTCACTATTTCTTCATGAACTTTACCCTCAGATCATTTAGATTAGAAGTATTTTATTATATTACATTTTCTTTCCCTATAATTTTTACTCCTTGTTTGAAGAATTGGAATCTCATCATCCCCAGTCTGATTGATCCATCAGAAGACTGTGTTTCTGCCCTGCCTTGCTCCAGTGACAAATGTATCCTGCTCACAATCAATCACTTGGTTTGAGCATGTATCCTGGAATCTTCTGAATGCACATTTCTATCAAGGTTGATAGCAACAACCCCATAGATAGATAAGAAGGAAAAGAAAACAGGATGGTCTAGTAGGAAGAAAGGGACAAACGTTTATAATATTAAAATATAACTTTGGTAACATGCAACTGCTGGAATCTTGAGCTTGAGATAACTGCCGGGTCATGTCTCCTTCTCCCACAGTCTTTCATCTTGGAGCCCTAATGATAGTTTAATCCAATCTCCTCTTTAAGAGATAAGTCAACTGAGATATAAATGGGTGCCATGACTTGGCCAGGGTCACACAGCTGATGACAGACTTCCCAGCCAGAGTGTTGTCCCTCACTCTACCGCCTACAAACATAAACACTGCTTTGACACAGTCTCTGAAGAAGTAACAAATCCTGCCACATGGGCTTCAAGTTCAAATTTTGCAGGTCATCTCTCCATTGGCTACCAAAGAGCTGCAGAAGCTTTAGCAATTCAGTGCCAAACCCCCGTTCCCCAGAATGCCTTTGGGAGACTTTTGGAGAACAAAATTCCATCGGCTGACCATGGCTTTTGATTCAAAACATTTGGTTCCTAGACACATGGCACAATAACCAAAATGACCACTACTGAACAATACCTTAGTTAGCCAGAAAGCTAACGATAAAAGTCATTTCCATTCTTACTTTGATTATTCCTAGCAGCAGAGTTTTTAATAAGATAATGGCTGAATCAAGAACCCCATTGGCTGACAAGAGGATAAATGAGTCGAGTTTGGACTCCCCTGAAAATATAAACTACATGGGCCACACTTAGGGAGGACCATATATTCCTTTTCAAGTCGTAAAATCCACTAACATTTTTCTTTTTCCATTTGTTGCTTGGTTCAATGCAATCTTTACCCTACACACAATGAAACAGAATTTAAGGAGCAAACTTATTACTTGGAAAATTTTGCAAGTGACTATTATTTTCTTTGCAGGAACATGTTCCCTCCAAATCTGGTAGAAGCCTGCTTTAAACAGGTAAACACTCTACAGACATTAACTCATCTTTGAAATTCCTCTTTTTTATACCAAACCAAGTGGGACCCTCTTTCCCCCCTCATTTCTCTGCTATAAGAAACACTTCTCTTGTCAACCAGATTAAAAACATTAGTGTTTTCTAGGAATTTTTTTGGGAGGGGATGGTCTTACCTTGTATTGAAGGCTTAGTAGTTGCCAGACACTGTGTGTCTTGCATACAAATAGCTCATTGAGTCTGCTATTGTTAAGAAGGCTAATCACAAGACCCCCCCCTTCCTATCCCCCAACTCCCTGCTGGCAAAAGCCCATCAACCAAGCAAACACCAATATAAAATATATTTATAACTTGCCTTAAAGAAGATTAGAGAGATTATTCAGATTTCTGGGTTTGATTTAAATATCAATGGACTGGTTTTTTTTTTTTTTTTTTTCAAGTCTACCAAAGACCTAATGGACTCTAAAGGAGAGCCAAAGCAGAAAGGAATGGCATCAGCACTTATGGAAATCCTGCTATATGCCAAGCACTAACATTATTTTTAGTCCTCACATAAATACAATAAATATCATTGTCTTCATTTCACTGATGGGGCAGTTCATCTATATGAACTCAAGACAATTATGTATCATGCACAGATTCTCACAAGTAGTAAGTGGCAGACTCCGAATTCAGATTCACTGTGTTGACTCCAAATTCTGTCTGCTTTCTGCTACTCCATTCTGCTTCCAAGAAAGGAATATTCAGGGTGATGAGACCCCGACCTGGAGGCTATAGTGAGGTCCAGCTCCTTTTAGCTCATATGCAAGCAACTCTTGGCTCTGTGTTGTGGATACAAATACCTTTTACTATTAGAAGATAAAATCAATAAAGCTCACTTTAACCTCACTTGAATATAAGAACTTTGTTGCCTAAAATATTAAAAGGGAAACAGACACTCTGGGTTAAATAACACTTCCCATACATTTCTCCATATAGTGTCAATTCACTCCTGTTGTAATTCCCTAACGCTTCTGCTTAGGATCTGTAAAACAAACCAAACAAAACCCCAACCTAGTAGAAGACTGTGTTTTACACATGTAAGTCTCCCTTTGTTTTTTTTTCCCTTGTAATAATTTTTAAGACTATTTTTAATATGTAATACATGCACACATTGAAACATTCAAACCAAATTCTTTCTTTTCAAATAAATAAGCCTGAGGCCAAAATCTAACTTTCTTTGTTCAAAAACAACTATAACTATAAATAATAAGTGCCTTTCAATCCAACCAGCCAACTCCAGCACCATGGCGCTGACATTCCAGTAAGTCAGCTGGCCCTGGGTGATATCAAAAATGTTGATTTCCAGATCTTTCAGATAGAAAAAGTGCTGACTTGTGCAGATTGATTGTGTTTGATTTGGATTTGCATTTACAGGATTTTGAAGGGAAAGAAAATCTTTCTCTCCAGGTCTAGTTGGCTTAGACCAGAACTCTAACAAGGTTGCAGTTTCTGTGCATACTGCAGAGTGTAAGGGGAATGCGTTAGAGGCATAAGAAAGGCTGATCAGGATTGAAAATCTACCCTGGACAATCCACAAAATGCATAAGAACCCAATGGAATAAAGAAATTTGAGAGTCGATTGGAATAGATGAGTGGGGCCAATTTTTTTGTTGCTTGAAATTACCAGCGCTACTAACTGTTCAGGAATGTGTGCATAGTATTGACAGCTGGCCATGCCTTTGTTTGGGAATAGTTGTTTCCCAGTGGATAAGAAAGCTTTCCATTAACCCTTAGTAAAGAAATGACCAAGCACTTCATATACAGCAGCACTTTCTTCCCCTGGATTCTAGGTTCACTCACCATCCATATATTATTACTCTTACTGGTGCTTTCCCTACAATCGCTATCAAGATCAGGAATTCTACTCTCATTAAAATCACAGAGGGATGAGCTTACTTGTTTCATGTGGCCAGCATCTCCTGACTGGGGCATCTATGCAGAAACTGAATAGATGATGGGAAAAAAGACCATCTCTTGAGTTAGAAGTGAAATCCCACTATAGACTTGGAGAAGGTGAGTTGTCCTCACCAACTATTAATCAGGCACCTATTCTTAAGAATTGATAACATCAAGAATGGCTTGGAGACTGGTTGTTTAGGGATTTTTAATTTTTAATACCCACTGAAATCTCTAAACAGGTCTAATCCCTGAAGGGCTTTGTCATTGAGCACCGTTAGCAGAAATTAGTACAGTACTTTAAAATTTGCAAGATGTTCTCATACATTCTGTTTGATTATCACAACAACACTGTGAGGTAGAAACAGCACAGTTGTTCTTGTTTCACAGCTGTGGAATATGAGAGAAAGGATACCAGGTGATTTATCTATTATACCATAGCATGATCCCCACAGAAGGGAAGAGGACTATTGTGAATATTTGGGTTTATGGTTTAAAACAAAAATCCCATTATAGTCATTTTATTAGGGTTTCAGAAGAAAGCAAAAGCAGATGCATGTGTTCAGTCCAGCATCTTTAGTGGATATCTCTTTCCTGTTATCATTTGTTATATATTTGAGTGAGTGTGTGTGTGTGTGTGTGTGTGTCATGATTTGTATGTATTTCAGTATGTGTTTCTGTCTATGTTAAGAAAGTAGTAGGGGGTTGCCACAGATTAAAGAGAGAGAGAAAGAGACTTTCTATAACACTAGTCTCTGAATACAGAGTAATAAATATCATTTTAGAAAATTTGACAACAGGAAAATATAAAGAAAAAAATAAAAATCACCTTTAATCCTCATTGTGCTTTTTATTTTTAAGTTTAAAACCAACTATGAGAAGAGAAGCTTTAAAGTGCCCATCCAGGCCAACGAAACGCTTGTGGGTGCTGTGATAAACAACGTGTCTGAGGCCATGGAGACTCTTACCCGAATCACAGAGGAGCTGGTCCCAGTTCCAGGATCTGTGAATGGAGTCAATGCCCTGGGTCTAGTTGTCTTCTCCATGTGCTTCGGTTTTGTGATTGGAAACATGAAGGAACAGGGCCAGGCCCTGAGAGAGTTCTTTGATTCTCTTAACGAAGCCATCATGAGACTGGTAGCAGTAATAATGTGGTATGTATTTCCATTTTCTGTATATGTTATATACGAGATGGTGATTGCCATCAACATGTGTTCTGTACTGAGGAAGGTGCCACAAGTCAGGATGGCCAATTGCAGTGATCTCACTCTGGTAAGCACAGGAAAATCAATGAACCTCTGGGCCTCTAGAGGCCTTGAACCTATCTGCAAGCCTCTCCTAATAAGTTTGCTTCCTTGTTTTCAAACCCTGTCACCTCCTTTTACCCCAGTGCTGATGGAATCTCATTCCTCGTTTCTCCATTTTTTATCTAGTTTTTCATTCAAGACCTAATTATTGAGTGTCTACTATATGCTAAGCGTATAGTGCCAGGCACTGTGGATATAGCAATAAAGAAAACATACAAGGGTATTCCAGATCTTACACTCTTTTAAAGGAGACAGACAATAAACAATTCAATCAACCATATGCTTTAGTCACAGGTGCTGTGGAAAAATAAAATAAAATAGCAGGTAACTAGGAGAAGGCACAAAATTTGCCTTGGATGGTGCAGAAAGGCCTCTGAGGAGGTGACATACTTTGTTAAGACCTGAATGAACAGAGGAAGAAGACACACCAAAGTGCCAGAAGAACGGTGTTTTCAGTAAAGGGAAAAGCAAACGGAGAGGCCCCTTAGGCCATCAGGAAAACTGAGGGCTCCTCATCTGTTTCAGCCCTAAGAAAGAATTGTAAATGGCAGTTCTGCTGCAATGTCTAAAGGATTCACAGGAAGTATTATAAAATGCCAAGTCACAATTTATGACAAAATTTGCTTTAATAAAGTTGACAGCAGGAGACAAAAGAAGAGACTATAAACCCAAGAGGAACATTAACCTTGGAAAGTAAACTTTACCCAACAGGGAGAAAACCCTTTGATTGACTTAGGCTTTCTGTGGAGGTTGCTTCTCTTTCATTCTTTATTTTTAATCCAGGCTCCTCTGTGGCACCTGAAGCAGGAAAAAATCCATTGCTAAGAAAAGCAGTCACTCACCAACATGATTAAAAATGCGCTTGTCTTTAATGCCACCAAAGCCCAGAGAAATCTATTTTTCAGGAATTTGTACAAGATGGATATGAACTTGGGCACAAAGACAGATCAGAATGTGGTCTCCACGGGAGCCCCCACTTGGAAGGCTCCTTTGAAGTCCTGGCAGGAACGAAAGTGGACATTTCTCTTCATATTATTAAATGCCTCCACCTTTCACCTCTTTTATGAAAGAAGCCCATTCAAGGCCCCTGAATGAATCTCACATGCAGCTTGTCTAGCAGTACATTTCGCCTGCACATTCAATGCTCAGTTACTATATTTCTGAAAACAGGTATTCCTATGATTTCCTGGCCTGGGTTCTCAAAGGACTTTTGAAAGAAGCATTATATTTTTCGATTTGAAACAAGTCCTCCATAGTTGCCAGGAGACCCTTCTCCTTAAGTGTGATTGGCTTCTCTGTGTTTGGTAATGTGAGTTTGGTTGTAGTTTCCTGCACATATGAAACAAAGAGAAGGGAAATCCAGGCAGCGAGGTCTTTAAGCAACCTCTGGGTTATTTCAACTTGTAGAAGTCATTTTGAGTCTCAGTTGCTCTTTCTTGCATTGTCTGCAGGAGGAAAGCTCACAATGGCAGTAGCAGCCTGTGGGGAACAATGACTTCATTAGAACACCTATAACCTGATTGTGGTAGTACATACATGCACATTATTAAGTTTAATCATGAATTTACTTTATGGACATCTATTTATGGCAAGCAGTACTAGATTTTCATTTGCACTATAACAAAATTTTCTCTTAAAGTAAATTTACTTAAGTAAAAAAGATGATTGGAAGAATAATACTAAGTAATCTTGTAAGTGGTATGTAGATATGGAAAGGCAATAATAAAAGTAGCCCTTGAAAAAGAGAACTGACTGCAAACCTGAGACACTGGCGTACCATCGTGTGCCTCTTGCTTTAACTTGGGAATTAGGCTCTGATGTGGAAAATGCTTCCAAAAGTCTGGATGTTGGTGCAGTGGATTCCAGCAGTACAGGACACTTAGCAGGGGAGCAGGAGGCAGAGGGAGTGAGTGGCATCTGAGGACCAGAAAAGTGACCCCCGTGTAGTGAAAGGAGAGCTGTCTAGGAAGACAGAGGTGGGTATCAAAAGCTCTGTATCTGCCTTTTTTCCCAGGTTTAAGAGAAAAACATTGTGTCCTAGAGCAATTCTGAGGGAGGGGAAAGCCCGATTCTGCAAGAATCAGGGGAAATTCATATTTACAAAAGAAAAAAAAAAGAAGTCCACAGTTTCTGTAAGTCCTAATGGTATCCTGGGCAGGAAAGTTTGGCAGTCAACTCTCTTTCACTTTTTCTTATCACTTGGAAATTTCTGTGGACTAGCTTGGTGGAAACCAGACTCCAACCGTGCTGGTGTTGCTTCTCCCCAGGTACGCCCCCGTGGGTATCCTCTTCCTGATTGCTGGGAAGATTGTGGAGATGGAAGACATGGGCGTGATTGGGGGGCAGCTTGCCATGTACACTGTGACTGTCATTGTTGGCTTATTCATTCACGCAGTCATCGTCCTGCCACTCCTCTACTTCTTGGTAACACGGAAAAACCCTTGGGTTTTTATTGGAGGGTTGTTGCAAGCACTCATCACTGCTCTGGGGACCTCTTCAAGGTATGTATATATGTGTGGAAAATGAATCTGAAATGTTACCTTGAACCAGGGCCCCTTAAGTAGGGTGTAGGAGGAGCCATTTTATTCTGGGTTTTAAACTTCCAGGAATGATGAGTCAGCTTTCTCACTTCTCATGCCAATCACACCTATTTGGGATTCGGGGAATGCCTGGCTACATATCTTTTGCGGGGATGAACTGGAAATCAACTATCCTTTCCGGCCCACTTCATCTCTCTTTAATTGACATCTGCCTGAGGGAAAAGAGGCAGAGTGACTTGGCACAGGCTGTCGTGATGGGGGCATGATCACAAGTGATGCCTCACAGAGGAACCCAGAAGCAGGAGAGCTGCCAAATGACCCCGTGAGGGGACCACACTGTTCTTAACCCGCTCCCCTATTTATATAAGTGCTGACTCAGTTCCCATTAAGTTACAACATGGGAGAGGAAGGAACTGTCTGTCCCAAAGACCAAACACACAGACAGTCAGAACTACCAGGATGCTCAGCTGATGTGCCCTGTTTCACTGTTCTCAGTTCTGCCACCCTACCCATCACCTTCAAGTGCCTGGAAGAGAACAATGGCGTGGACAAGCGTGTCACCAGATTCGTGCTCCCTGTAGGAGCCACCATTAATATGGATGGGACTGCCCTCTATGAGGCTTTGGCTGCCATTTTCATTGCTCAAGTTAACAACTTTGAACTGAACTTCGGACAGATTATTACAATCAGGTACAAGGAAAGAGTTCTATACAACCCTTTCTTAAGAATGCCTTTAAGGCTGGGAGCAGTGGCTCACACCCATAATCCCAACACTTTGGGAGGCCAGGGCAGGTGGATCACCTGAGGCCAGGAGTTCAAGACTAGCCTGGCAACATAGTGAAACCCTGTCTCCACTAAAAATACAAAAATTAGCCAGGTGTGGTGGCATGGGCCTGTGGTCCCAGCTACTTGGCAGACTGAAGCAGGAGAATTGCTTGAACCCGGAGGCAGAGATTGCAGGGAGCTTAGATCGTGCCACTGCACTCCAGCCTGGGGGACAGAGCAAGACTGTATCTCAAAAAAAAAAAAAAAAAAAAAAGAATGTCTTTAAAAGACAAGAGGATAACCAGGGTTGGGAAGGGGATCCCACATAATCAAGAGGTGGGGATTTGAGGTAATCATTTTATATTTAGATATTTTAATTGTTTTCTTTTTAGAGTATAGATGTATACACTCATTAATAACAAGGTTCAAAAAATATAGATATGTATAAAGTAAAAAGGGAAACTTGCCTGCCATCATATCGCCCCACATCTTTCTGTAAGTGACCATTGTTCATGTTTGGTTTGGAAAGACTCTTCCTATGCATAGACATGCACACACTTCTTTTTTGTAGTTAGTGAAATTATATTATACATACATGTTTGCCTTTGACTGGTTTGCTTGTCAATAAACCAATAAATATGTCTACCTCATCATTCTTTCTAATGTCTGTAAAATACATAGTATGGATATTTCTCCTTTTTAAAAGTGTTAGATTATACTTCAATATTTAAAAGCATTAAAATAGGTTAGCTTGTATATATACTGCCAGAAAATAAAAAGTTAGATGAACTTTTTCTCCTGAGTGAGTTTTTTGTTTTTTTGAGATGGAGTCTCACTCTGTCACCCAGGTTGGAGTACAGTGATGCAATCTCGGCTCACTGCAACCTCCGCCTTCAGGGTTCACACTACTCTCCTGCCTCAGCCTCCTTGAGTAGCTGGGACTACAAGGGCCCACCACCACTCCCAGGTAATTTTTTTGTATTGTTAGAGGAGACGGGGTTTCACCGTGTTAGCCAGGATGGTCTCGATCTCCTGACCTCGTGATCCACCCGCCTCGGCCTCCCAAAGTGCTGGGATTATAGGCGTGAGTCACCGCGCCGGGCCTGGGTGAATTTTTAGCCAGTGTAAGATAGATGACAGACCACACTGACAAGTAGTTCAAGAATCTGACTTTTGTGGAGAATTTTTTAAAACTATTATATTGGAGGTGTTCAGTGAAAAGTTATTTTCCTTTCCATACCCTCCCCCAGTCTCTTAGTTTCCTTCTGTAGAGGCAACCAGTGTTACCTGCAAGTTTCTTCCATGTCCTTCCAGAGATACTCCAGGCATACCCTTGTGCATATGCAAATATAATCCCTCCTTTTTACTTATTAAAAGTTATTTTGCACAAGGTCCGCTTGAGTCTAATGGCAACGGGACGCTTTCAGACTCACAATCCAGATCAGCCTCTGCTCTTCACTGTTGTGGGGTTTTCAAAAAATTGTTATTAAAAGTACATTTTGGAGAGCAAAATAAGTCAGATTTGGGGGGATTTTTATCACTCAACATTTTGTTGTGAAATTTGCCCTATATACAGGGAAGTTGAAACAATATTATAACAACCATCCTCTACCAGATGGAAAAATTGCAAACGTTTTGCCATTTTTGCTTCTTCTTTCTCTTTCTCTGCCATTATGACATTTCACCTGTACGTAATTCAGCATGCATCTCCTAAGAACAAGGATATTTTTCTACATAACCACAATAGTAAGAATCTTAAAAATACTTCCAGAATATTCAATCTATATTCAAATTTCCCCAGTTGTCCCCCAAAACATGTTTTTTACAGCTTTTACTTCCAGACCAAGTTCAAATCCACATTTATGGCCTACATTTGGTGTCTTAGTTTCTTTTCATCTAATCAGTCACCATACATTTGTTGTTATGTTTATTTAGAAATAAGTTGTTAGACTCTGTGTATGTTTTGTGTTAGTAGAAAATGATAATAGTTGTAGTAGGGTGCATTGGAGTAAAAAGGACAAGGCTGATCAGGGCCAGAGGTCACTGACTGACCTGGGGGTTCTGGGAACCTCAGGCCCAAAGTAGTTACAATGGGACTGAGGAGATCATTAGCTCAGCTCACCTGTAACCTATACTTTGGCATATTGATTGAAAGGCTCTGAGTTATAAAAAAGGTTCAGTTGCATGTGACAGAGTTAAAAATAACAGTAAGAGTGACAAACAAGATAGAAATATATTTCTCTTTCATGCAGCACAGCTCTGCTCCACAAAGCCTTCAAGGCTGATTGATAGGTGTTCTGTAATATAAGGGACTGAGTCATTTGAGTGTTATCATTATCCAGGGGGTCCGGGATGACCTACCACCCCCAGATTTTAGCCAGTGGGAAGTGGGGAAATGGCATACCCTGCAAGTTGTTCAGTCACTTCCATGCATGTCTGACTGGCCAGAACTTAATCTAAGCTTCAAGGGAGGTTGGGAAGTGTAGTCTTCATTCTGGGGAGCAATATACCAGCTAAAAGTTCCAATACCTTAGAAGGGGACCAGTATGGGGACCATGAATACTTTCTGTGCCAGACTTAATACTTTATTAATACCACTTATAACTAGATAATACTTCACTATTTATAAAACATTTGCTTTGCAAGCCATGTCTACACTGCCTTCATAAAAGGTATTCCTAATACTATAAAACTTTGTGCATAAATCATTTTGCTTTTGAATTAACTAAGCAAACCAAACTAAGAAACCAAATTTGATTCTTTTGACAACATTAATCATGAATGTTCAGTAACTTTACAACCCTCCACTTGGATAGGGGAATTATTGGAAAGAAATTATTATTGTAACTCTACAGAATTTTAAACTTCGCCTTACAAAATACTTTCAGGGATGTTAAAAAGTGTATAGCTGCCAGTTTATTTTAAAACAACTAGAATAATAGGTCCAACTTCACAAGGGTCATTGTATGAGGACCAAATGAGATAAGCCACGATTAGTATATCAGAAGACACATAGTAAGCATATGATAAATATTAGTTAGCATGATGATTAGTTCAATTTTTTTTTAATCTCATTTACAGGCTGGGCGTGACGGTTCATGCCTGTAATCCCAGCAGTTTGGGAGGCCAAGGTGGGTGGATCACTTGAGGTCGGGAGTTTGAGACTAACCTGGCTAACATGGTGAAAGCCCGTTCTACTAAAAACAAGAAAATTAGTCAGGTGTGGGGGCATGCACCTGTATTCTCAGCTACTCAGAGGCTAAGGCACAAGCATTGCTTGAATCCAGGAGGAAGAGGTTTCAGTGAGCCTAGTTTGCACCACTGCACTCCAGCCTGGGCCACAGAGTGAGACTCTGTTTCAAAAAAAAAAAAAAAATCTCATTTACTTTTTTCCTGAAGCACATCCTCTTGTGTTACATGGCAAGTCAGGCATTGGCACCGTGCGTATTTTGCAGCCTATATGCTCTACCTGGGGAGCTTTGTAAAAGTGTTTTCTGTTCTGGTACTTCTGTTAACAGCATCACAGCCACGGCTGCCAGTATTGGGGCAGCTGGAATTCCTCAGGCAGGCCTGGTCACCATGGTCATTGTGCTGACATCTGTCGGCCTGCCCACTGACGACATCACGCTCATCATCGCAGTGGACTGGTTCCTGTGAGTATGCTTGGCCTGCATTCTGACTCACTGTCACAGGGCCCACCTCTGTCACTCTAGGGCACCAGGCAGCCTGGCACAGCTACAGAAAGAACTCTGAGGAGAGGGGCCACTCGGCCCATAGTTAAATTGTCCTCATTGTCTGACCCCTGGTCCTTATCTGGAGACCGAGCCCCAGCCGACATGTGCACTCACTCCCCTATCAGCCTGAGGGGCACATCTGGCTGCCACAGATCTCACTCCATAAAGCCATTCAGGAATTGGGAAACCCGCTGTCTGCAAAGGCAACATAAATCAGCAAGGCTGTTTCTGAGTTGCACAACACAACGCCACAGCAGCTGGAACAAAGCTGCAGGCCCCACATGCCAGCTCAGGCCCTGCCTCTGTGCGCTTCCCATTCCGGTGGGAATGATTTTCCCATCCTAGCCCAACAGGGTGAGGCTGAGCCATGCCGACACTGGGAAGAGAGTTAGTGTCATTAAGTGGAATTGAGTTTTGGATCTGGGAAAAGTTCCAAGAAATGTACCCTCCACACTCTCAAACTCTAACCTCTACAGGCCCATCCCTGTGCCCCCTTTCCTTGCTCTTCCAACTGGCATTCTCTGTGCCTTTTCTCTTGAAAGTTTACTTCCACTTTTGAAAATCTTTCCCCAGGATGCCCAAAGCAAATGCCTAGAACACAGTAGGTGCTGGAGTTAGCACAACGTGTGTTCACTGGAACTGAGACCATGAAAAGAGCTTGACAGTGTGTGTGAAGCCCCAGAACGGGCAGAGAGGATTCACTTATGGGGACCTGTGTTTGTGTCCTGACCTTGTGTGAGACCGGGCAGATTACCCAACCACCCTCGGTTCTACCTCTGTAAAATGAGGGTGCCTGTGTCTGCTACCTCCGAGGGGTACTGTAGGCTTCAGTGCAATGATGCCTAGAAAGTATGCAGCCTACTGTCTGGCCCACAGTCAGCATCAGTTAACATGAGCACTCTCGTATAACGCTACAGTTCTCCACAGTCTTTGATCTTTACACTTCAAAGTTATTGAGCACTGAAATAGCATTTCATCTATATGGGTTGTATCTATTCATATTTATCATATTAGACAAACATAAATTTCCATTTGTTAATTTAGAACACGTTTTATTTAAAGGTGACAATAATAAATTCATAAAATGAATAAATAAAATGAATTCATCATCCTTAAAAAGGTTACATATGCTAACGTAAATAGCATTTTTTTGTAAAAAATAAACATTTTTGAGCCCAAAATTTATTTTATTTGTTTATTTACTTGTTTTGAGATGAAGTTCCATTCTTGTTGCCCAGGCTGGAGTGCAATGGCACAGTCTTGACTCACTGCAACCTCCGCCTCCTGGGTTCAAGTGATTCTCCTGCCTCAGCCTCCTGAATAGCTGGGATTACAGGTGCACACCACCACACCTGGCTAATTTTTGTATTTTTAGTAGAGACGGGCTTCACCATGTTAGCCAGGCTGGTCTTGAACTCCTGACCTCAGGTGATCCACCTGCCTCCCCCTCCCAAAGTACTGGGATTACCGGCTTGAGCCACCGCGCCCAGCCTCGACCCCAACATTTAGTGAAAAGAATGGTACTATTTTATATTTTGCAAGTTTCCTTAATGTCTGGCTTAATGCAAGACAGTTGGAGTTTCCTAACTGTTTCTGCAGTTTCACAACTGCTTCAGTGAGTTGTGACATCACACATCATGTAGTCTTTGCAAAACTCCACTATACATTCATGAGAAAATGAGACTGAGAGGGACAAATGATATCTTAGTATTATTTTGAGAATAGCTGAAATAGAAGGCTCATTCCCCACTGTTGGGACTCTCACTCCAGTCAGACTAATAACTGAATATTCATCATCTATATGGCCTTATAACTTTTAATTGCTCCTATTATGAACATTATGTGTCTATTATGTAATCTTGCAGTTGGTAGACACAGCGAACTGAATTTTAAGAGGTGCTTCGCTGGCCAGTTGTAAGTTGAAATCTTGTGATGGTCACGGGAGCCTCATTTTTCCCTCCTCCCCACCCTGCCCGCAGGGATCGCCTCCGGACCACCACCAACGTACTGGGAGACTCCCTGGGAGCCGGGATTGTGGAGCATTTGTCTCGACATGAACTGAAGAACAGAGATGTTGAAATGGGTAACTCAGTGATTGAAGACAATGAAATGAAGAAACCATATCAATTGATTGCACAGGACAATGAAACTGAGAAACCCATCGACAGTGAAACCAAGATGTAGACTAACATAAAGAAACGCTTTCTTGAGCACCAGGTGTTAAAAACCATTATAAAATCTTTCCATCTCATTACAGCTCATTCTCTCCAGCAAGCCCCTTAATCCCCTTTCCTCCCTTCTGATAAGATTGGAAAGTAGTCCTCCAAAAAACAAGGGAGGATTTTGGGTGGCCAAAGTGTATAATTTTCATCCCACAATTGAAATTTTTACATCATTTCATGTTAGTCTTACCTAATAAGGTACCAAGATCAAAAATATTCTGGATCAGATCTTACAAGTTTATGTGGCACACAATCCTATAAATGTGATTTTTTTTATATAAGTTAAACAAATAGTAGGCTAAAAACATTTTATAATCAACTTTTGAGATTTGAAAATCTTTCAGAATACAATTGAGTTTTAGTTTCAAAATGTTAACAACTTGAATTACAACCGGTTATCAGTTGAACAGTAAGATTTTGTCCCTTTCTCATCTGACTGGTATACTGATTTCATTAGTAGCGAGGTGCACATATACATCTAGCACAGCTGTGAGGACAGACAGAGGCAGTTTCCATGTGGCCTTGAGTAAATCCCATCTCACCTCTAGGCCTCAGTGTCCTCATCTATAAAATGAGGGACTTCCCTAGATGTCTTCGTGGTCTCTTCCAGCCCAGACATCCTATCATGTCATGAAAGCGCCTGCCCTCTATTTCCCCTCAGAACACCCCGTACCATCCATGGAGCACAGGGCTTTCAGAAAGGACACTTTAATGGGAGTGAAAATTTCTAAGGACGGGATGGCTATGTGTGGTGGTCACCAGGTCCTGTGTGCAAAGTGCAGGTTATGCAAGTCGCCAGGCAGGAGGCCATTCCAGGACTGGGATTATTCGTAAAACCCTTTGCCCAGTTCATCCCAATGGGGGAAGTATTCCCTTCTTACTCTGGGAAGAATGTCTCCCGCCACTCCTCAAACAGAAGAGAAGGTAGCAGCTAGCAAGGGTGCTTGTGGGCACACTATGGAACACTAAAGAGCTAGGAAAGAGTTGAGCACAGGCAACATTATAAACAAAGGATTTGAAAACACCAAGAGTACAGGTCTTCTTTAAGGAAGAATAAAAAAGAGGTTCTTTTTTTGGCTTTTTTTTTTTCACCTGAAACACTTCTTCTCTTGAGTCCAAAATCATTCCCCCATGAAGTCTGCCTACCAAAACATAAAGATCACTTATATATTTGAAAGAAGTCAAACGAATGAGCTGTCTAATAGAAGTCCATGAGTTGAGTGGGTATTTTTTATTTGAAAGTGCTTTTCTTTAATCAAAAGTCCTTAGAACGAGAGAAACAAAATATTTCTGTTTTGGAATCCCACTTATCAAATCATTCAAAACTTTCAGCTGGAGTGGGGTTTGCTTTTGTTTTGTTTGTGTCCATAAGAAAAATGGTAGAAGATGAATCAGTATGAAGACACTGTCAATGAGGTTATGAGAAAAAACAGCAGGGGCATTAGTTTCAGGCAAGGCAGCTCCCAGGTTTAGAGATTAATTTTTACCCCCTAAGGAATATCCAGTCAAAGATGCTGAGTGGGAGCTGTCAGGCAGTAGCAGCTGTGTTTGAGTTTCTGGCTGAAAATGGTGAAGAATGGACTTAATTATGCTAACAGACTGAAAATCTAGACATACATCCTCTGATATACAATTAGAGATATTTTTATATAGACCCCAAGCATTCTGTGTATAAAAGTTAACATTAGGCTGTGATGGAGTAACCATTTAATGTCGAGGCTCTATTTGGGAAATACACTACAAATGTTAATGTATGTGGCTGTCATCTTAAGATACTAGTAGAGCAAAGACTTAATCATATCAACTTAATTCTGTTATACAATTTTTTTACATACTAACCATTTCTTATGGAAAGATCCTGTAGGGAGCCCATCCTCTCACCAAGCCATCACAAGCTCTGCATACACATGCATTCAGTGTGGACTGGGAAGCATTACTTTGTAGATGTATTTTGAATAAAGAAAAAAAATAGTTTTACATTAACATCTTTGCATGTTGTTGTTATTCTTCTCCTCAAAGGAAAATACATTTTCCATTCATGGAAATATTACAGTAAGCTCAGGGCAGTCTCTGGAAGGATCCCGTGCAGCAAGGTAAAATCTTGGCAGAGCCAGCTGGGGGAGCCAGCCACAAGAAAATAAGTAAGGACATGCTCTCCTGCTCAACTCCAAGAACTGGAGCTGGAAACAGGAGGAGGTGAGCGGAGCACTTTGCTGTAGCAGACCGTACTTCCTTGTCCATGTCAGATTCAGATTTCTCACATGAATTGAATCATTTCCATGTTGGGATTAGAAAAGTGTGATGCCACCACGGGCCCTCCAAAAAAGTAACTTTCTGTCTGACGTTCAAATTAGGTAGATTTATCTCTGTGATTATTACCACCATTTGTGAAAAGAGCTAACTAAGATCTCAAGGGATGCCCAAAAACAGTCATTGTACTAGTGAACTGCTCTATTCATTAAGAACAACTTATGGATGACTACTTTTCATCATGCTTTTTAGTAAAAAATTGGCAGGCAATATCATGAAATCCCCAGATTGAAGTAGTATCTGGAGACTATAATCTGACCCTCTCTACCTGCAGGTGGCAGCCACCTAGAGGAAAGGCTCTTAAATTGGATCCATGGACCCCTAGGTCATCCACATGAAGAGTTCAATAGGTTCATCGCCCTTGAAGTTGTGGGGAAAGTTTTGTGATTTGCCTTTTTCTGGGGGTAAAATTCTTAATTTCCATCGGTTTCTGTAACAGATCTTACGACTAAAAAAAAAAAATTTACAAATTGCTATGTTTGAATCATACATCCTAACTTTTGCGAAGGCATATATGGTATTTACATGACCAGTTTGGGAAAAGAAAGGCTGCTCACAGACTGAGGGAACCAAGCCCGGCCACCCTGAGCGGATCAATATTTTCCCCCTGCGAGATGTTCTGGGAAGTGCCACATAAAATCAATCCACTGCTAGGAAGTGCGCCCTTCTGCCAGGACCATTTTCTTCCCTTCTGCAGCCCACGCTAGGTTTCGGCCACCTCCACAGTGCAGACCTGAGAAACAGGTCATCGGGCTGTGGGAGGTCTGTGGAGAGGCCCTTATGGTCAAGGCAAGTGCCCCTCATCCAGAGTATGACAAAGAGGGTGGAGAAGCGGGCCTTAGAGCCCTACAAGTGGTAGTCACAGATGTGCTCACAAACGGAACTATAAAAAATATTCAGGTTCACATTTTTTTGTTGTTGTTTTTTGTTTTTTACGATACAAGGTCTCACTCTGTGATTATGGCTCACAGCAGCCTCGAATTCCTGGGCTCAAGCGATCCTCAGCCTCCCGAGTATCTAGGACCATGGGCTCACACCGCCACGCCCGGGCTAATTTTTATTTTTGTTTTTTGTAGAGACAGGATCTCGCTATGTTGCTCAGGCTGGTCTCAAACTCCTGGCCTCAAGCGATCCTTCTGCCTCAGCCTCCCAAAGTGCTGGGATTACAGGAGTGAGCCACTGCACCCAGCCTCAGGCTGACTTTTTTTTAATGTTTCTTATAAGTAATCACATTTAACAAAACGTTTAAATCCTACCCTCAGAAGTTAGGGGTCTATGTCCTCCTGTATCCACATTCATCCTGGCACCACCACTGTCCCACCCAAGCAAGATTCTCCTTTTCAAGAGAAAAAAATCTCATTTTACCTCACTACACCTATAAGTAAAGGCATAGAAAAAAAAAAGTAACATCCTTGACTCATCATCTACACCGTGCTGAGAACAGAAGTGTTAGTTCTGTTAGCTGAAGGGGCCTGGAGGAAGCGTGGCGGGAAGGCTGGATCCCCGCTGCAGGGGCTGCGGGGCTGCGGGGCTGCGGCTGCCTGCGGGCCGGGCAGGGCCGGGAGCACGCCCTCCTTCCGGGTGGCCGCGGGCCCGAAGGCCCCGAAGACCCCAGGCTGCCATCAGTCAAGCGGCCTCCGTAGCAGCCGCGCTTCCCCTTCTCCCACCCGGGTGGTCCCAGAACTGGAGCAACAATGGCCAGCTCTGTGTGGCCGCGTCCTGGGGCCAGAGTAGTCTGGACGTGTCACGCCAAGGGCGGGCTCCGAATGAATACGCTGACAAAGTAAGAAGGAAGAGGGAGCGAGGGAGGTGATGGGCAGCGTCTGAGAGGGAAAGCGGGAGATGAGAAATCTATGGGATCCGCGAGGCGGCGTCCGGGGAGCGAGCCTCATAGTGGCCACCAGGGGGAGTCCGGAGCTCACCTTGGTCGCTTTCGCGGGGAGCCCCAAAGGGTGCTGGGGCACTTCCTCTTAGAGATCTCACTTGGGTAACATCGAATTCCAAGTCTGCAGTGCGAAGAGGGAGCAATCTGTGAAAGCCATCAAGCCAGGTTTAAAATTCCTCAGTGCCCCCATGTCACTTTTCCCTCTGTTCACCCTGCTTCTTCAATAGCCTCCCCAGAGGACCCCCTTCCTTTCTGGGTATCCTGTTTTGTCTCCCTTGTGTCTCACCTCTCTTCTCTCCCATCTCCTCTTCTGGATTCTCATCTCCCCATTCTGTCACTTACATGTTTTGCAGCTACAGACAGGTACTCAGAAGGTGGCATGGTAACATTTCCCTGCAGGTCAGGCCTCATCGTGCCCACAAAACTGCTGCCTCAACCTTCAATTTTGAAACATTCACAGCATGCTGAATTCCTCATGTAAGTAGGGTTGTCAGATAAAATACAAGACACCCAGTTAAATCTGAATTTCAGGTAAATAACAATGTTTTAGTATAAGTATTAAATAACAATGTGGTGGTATCAGTATGCAAAATACTGCATGGGGCATGCTGTAATTTTATGTGTTAATCTGGCAACCCTCTAGACACGTGAAATGTGGAACTCAGAACAATTTATATTTGCTTCAATGAAACTGATATTATAGGTGAAAGAGGTTGCTTGGAGTGGGGGCATCTTCATTATAAAATCATCACCCCCATTTTGAATTTCTCTCTGAAAGCAAAAACATGCTTTAAAAAGCAATTTAGATCTAACATTTCCTACTATTAATTGCTCTGGTGACATTATCACTTATGTGCTTGTAAATCTTGTGGCCACAGTTAAAAACCTTGATGAATCACCTTTAGGATTTCACAAAACTGTCTTGAATAAATTAAGCAATACCTCAGTTATCCATAGTTGAGATATTTAAGACTGACATCTGCTTTTGTTTTCTTCACTCTCCTATTTTCTTCTTTCCTTCTCTCACTCCTTACTTCTACCCTCCCCACTACCCCAACGTAAAATATTTTCTGTAATCCATTACAGAGCTGAAAAATTTGGCATTCACATATTGTTCTCCAAAGACGGACACATTTTTTTTTCATTTGGGGGTCATCTATTAGAAAAGCACCCATATTTTTTTCATATTGTGCTATTCAAACTTGATCATTTTCTAGTCTCTGAAACTTGAGAATGAGGCATTTTTCAGTCTCTTCAGGGAACTCCAGCCTCCATGAATGGGAATCATTCCCACAAAAACCCCCTTTTTAAGCCAAGTCTGAAGGATGTGAAAAAGCAGGACCCAACTGACACTGCAGAAGGGGAACAAAATCAAATCATAAACTCTTTCCAATAATGGCATATGCAAAATCATGTAAAGACGGTAGTGAGTGTCCTGGAAGATGGTGTCAGATGACAACTTTTTTACTTCTTTTCCAACTCTTTAACTTCAGAGGATCATAAGTCCTGGAAGCAGCCAGCCAGGAGCTTCCAGACATAGCTGTCACAGGGGAAAATAAAGACCATTTGAAAGTCAACCCAACCCTGCACAATGAACTGATGACTGGCCTCCCCTGGGGAGAACTCAGCACACAAAGATTTTTGTCTGCAACACAAGCCTCTGAACGCTATAACCAAATTCCCCTGCCCTTGGCACTCTGGTGCCTCAGTGAGGCCTTCTTTCATTTAAGCCCATGAGGAGCTGTTAGCTAAAGAAGTGGAAAACAAACATGAGAAAGTCAGCAGGCATGTTAGAAGACTCACATGGCTAGACTAAAAATAGCTTTATGCTTCCTAAAACTTAAAGGTCTGCTTTAGAGTGGTGGTTGAACTCAAACTTCTACACAGGGGTGGGTTGAATCCACACCTGTTACACCTGAATTCTTAAGCAGTTTAGAGCCCCTGGCTGGTCCACTCCCTGCACCTCCGCATCCTCATCTGTAGATTTGGGGATTGTATGAAACCTACCATCTCCAAACCAACTTTCATATCAAGTGTCTGTGTATTGGAGGGGATGCTAGAGTTAAAACGCTCCTTAGTTAAATGGTCAACTGCCCTTCGCATATGATAGGTGAAACTTCAACTTCCCCATCGTAAATGGGTATCATAATACCTTCTTTATTATGGTGTAATGAGAATTAAATAGATAATAACTACATATAAAATTCTCAGCACAGTTCCTGGCACTCAGGGAGATTCTTAAGATGTTCAGAACAACCTCGGCTCAGTAGGGAGGAAGAGGCACGGGGTGACGCTAGAGGAAGGGAGAATGGTTCCCGGCGCCATCTGGGCCTGCTGTGAGCTGGAATGAACTCCCCGAGGAGGCCACAGACCTACATTGCCCGGGGGGGACGCTTTGCGGAGGTCGTCACCCCTGGAAACCGGCATCATGAGACACTGCCAGGCCTCTTCACGGAGGGGCCCGGGCCTCTGCGCCCGGGGCGGCCCGGCAGCGCCTGCTCGCCTCCGCACAGGCCTTTTGTCCCGCGGGCTCTCCCAGCGGCCCCGCGCTGCGTGGCGGTTTTGTGAAGGGCACAATCCGATGTTCTGAGGAGACCACCCAGCTTCCTCTCCCAGAGTCTCCCAGAGAACAAAACCGCCTCTCCGTGTGCCAGCGACCTCCCCTTCTGCCAGGCCCCCTCCCACTGGCCTCCTCCCTGCCCTGCCAAACGGGGACGGAGAGTCAATCGGCCCTGGCCGGTGGGAACCCAGTTGATGGTGCGCTTATGAACTGTCCTGAGCGCGGGGA